CAAAAGGAAGTAATTCCATTCTTGTTCCTAGTGAAGTTTCTTGTTCTGTCTCTAGTTCAAATACACAAGACTCTAATGTACTCCAATGGCATGTTAGATTGGGGCATTTGCCATTTTCAGTAATGAAAAATCTTCAGTTTTAATTTTCCTTCCAATTTTAATTGTGTGTGTGATATTTGTCCACAAGCCAGACAAACTAGATTGCCTTTTCCTCTAAGTCAAATCAGAACTCTTGAAATTTTTGATCTTATTCACATTGATGTATGGGGACCTTTCAAAAGTACCACTTACAATGGGTACAGATATTTTTTGACTGTGGTTGATGATTTCAGCAGGGGGACTTGGACTTTTCTTTTAAGTTCTAAGAGTAATGCTTTAACTATGTTATCGTCTTTCTTAACTATGGTGGAGAGACAATTTGCAAGGAAGGTTAAGAGAATAAGATCTGATAATGCATGGAACTGGGAAAGGGATCTTTTCAGTATGATTTCTTTCAATCACAAGGGATTTTACATGAGACTTCATGTGTGGCAACACCCCAACAGAATGAGGTTGTTGAAAGAAAGCATAGACACCTTTTGGAAGTGGCAAGAAGCTTGTATTTTAACTCAAAACTTCCTATTCAATACTGGGGAGAGTGTGCTTTAACTGCCACATATCTAATCAACAGGTTCCCTTCTAGAGTTCTAAAAGGAAAAACTCCTTATGAGATTTTGTTTAAAAGGAGTCCAGATTATGAACACCTCAAGTCATTTGGATGTTTATGCTATGCTTCTACTCTATCACACCACATAAGCAAATTTGATCCTAGGGCACAAGCTTGTATTTTCTTGGGATATGCACAATAGCAGAAAGGATACAAACTCCTGGAGTTGCACTCCAAAAAGGTTTTTACCTCCAGAGATGTTAAATTTCATGAAAGCATTTTTCCCTTTGCTTCTGCACCTGTGAGTTCCACCTCATTTTTCCCTTCTCACCCTTTCTTTCCTCACTTATCTAGCACTAGTGAACCTACTTCTCAGAATCTTTCTTCTCCCATTTCAACCACTTATAATCTGGAACACTCACCTGCCCCTCTACATTCACACCTTTCTGAGAACACCACCCCTGTTTCCCAGATTCTGGTTTTCCAACTCCAACTCCTACTGCCTACCCTGTTTCCCAGCCTACAATACCAATACCACCACCTCCTATAAGGAAGTCTGAGAGAATTTCCCAGAAACCTACCTATCTCAATGATTATGTCTGCAATAGCATAGTTTTCTCTGATCTTACCTCTTCCTGTTTTCACCATGTTTCTCACCCTAATGTATTTTCTTTTGGGGCCCTTTCTCTTAACAATCAGGATATGTTCAAGTCTATATCTACAGTCTTTGAACCTACTAGTTATGCTCAGGCTTCCCAAGACATTGGGTGGAGAAAAGATATGGAAGCTGAAATTTAAGCTCTTCAACTTAATCACACCTGGGATGTAGTCTCTTTACCCCAAGGCAAGAAGGCATTGCCTTGTAAATGGGTCTACAAGGTCAAACACAAGTCAGATGGATCAATTGAAAGGTTGAAAGCCAGGTTGGTTGTGAGAGGGGACATACAAAGGGAAGGTATTGATTATTCTGAAACTTTCAGTCCAGTGGTCAAGATGACCACTATCAGGTGCCTACTGACTGTAGCTGTTAAGAAAGGTTGGGAGGTCTCACAATTAGATGTTAACAATGCATTTTTGCATGGAGATTTACAAGAAGAAGTGTATATGAAGTTTCCAGCTGGTCTCACTCCCTCTCATCCTAATCAGGTGTGCTTATTGAAGAAATCACTCTATGGGCTCAAACAGGCTTCAAGGCAATGGTATGCTCGTTTAGCAGGTGCTTTAAGCTACAAAGGCTATTTTAGTTCCTTAAATGACTATTCCATATTCTACAAACACACAGACACACGCATATCAATCATAGCAGTCTATGTTGATGATATTCTCATCACAGGAAATGATGCCACATAAATACAGCATATTACTAAGTTTTTGGATTCTGAATTCAAAGTCAAGAACTTGGGGCACATTCACTATTTTTTGGGGATGGAAATACTCAGAGAACAACAAGGATACATAGTCAGCCAAAGAAAATTTACCTTGGAACTCTTGGCTGAATTTGATTGTCAAGGGCCTACTGTCTCTTCTCCTCTTGATTCATACTCCAAGTTGCACGCTGAATTAGAACCACCCATGGAGGATCCCATTCTTTATCGCTGTTTGGTAGGGAAACTCAACTATCTCACCAACACTCGGCCAGATGTTTGTTTTGCTGTCCTTTGCCTCAGTCAATTTATGCAAAGACCCTCGCTTTCCCTTTTTTTTGCAAGTCTCAGGGTACTCCGCTATCTTCGATCCAACCCAGGTCAAGGTATCCTTCTTTCCTCTGCTCCTTCTTTTGATCTCATCGCATTTTGCGACGCTGACTGGGCTGCTTGTAAAGATTCTCGTCGCTCCGTCAGTGGCTTCTTCATTACCCTTGGTGGTGCACCCATTTCATGGAAATCGAAGAAACAGATTTCCATCTCTTTATCATCCGCTGAGTCTGAGTATAGATCCATGAGACGTGTGACCGCTGAAATCACTTGGCTTGTTCTTCTTCTTGCTGATTTGTCTGCTTCCCCAACTTTGCCGGTGCCTTTACATTCTGACAGTCAGGCGGCGATTCATATTGCCCGCAATCCCGTTTTCCACGAACGCACTAAACATGTGGAGTTGGATTGTCATTTTGTTAGACAACAATTTCTTGCTGGTTTAATATCCCTCTCCTTCGTTCCTTCAAAGTCCCAAATCGCCGATCTCTTCACTAAACCCTTATCTGGGGTTTCTCATACCAATATCATGAACAAGCTGGGGGTTTCGTCTCTACCCTCCATCTTGAGGGGGGATGATGAAGAAGAGAAGAAAACCATGAAGATTTCTTCGCCAATTTTACACAGAAAAGAGAAGGAAGAAGGAGATAAGATATCTCAGACAAACACATAAGTCTTCGGACTTTTCTATGTTATGTTTGTCTATATCTCTATATCTCTTTAATCAAATTAGAGATGAGGCTACACGTGAAATAATCATGATGGTCATGATCCTTTAATATCAACCATCTGATCAAGTATTTAACACCTGTACATATGGAAGATTCAAGAAAGAATTCTCACGTGCCTATCACATGAGAACATAGGAGAGAATATTTTACAGTTTTTCTATTACATTCTAGACAAATAGGAGTAGGACAAGTGTATAGCAATATTCTTTATTTGTTATTTTTCAGTAGGATAAGTTTGTATATATACCTTATACTGTGAATACAAAAGATACAGAGACAATTCTCACATTTCCTACTATTTCTTTCAGAAAGATAGCAAATATCTTGTGAAATAGTCAAGGCACAGACAAACTGACTCGAATATTTAAAACTAAAACTTATTTCTTTTAGTGCATAATTAGGTGCACGTAAGTTTTTCTCGGTTACTAGGGACATAAGTTTCTCACTTTTTTTCTAGTAGAAGTGTTTGATATTTATGCTAAAATAGAATTTAGTACTAGCTGCAAAACAATGAGGACGAAGTTTAATAAAAGTTTAGATACTGTCAATATTATATTCTTTCATCACAATCGTATTTCTTGATTTAAGCAGAATAATGTACATTTAAAGTTAAGGAACATGATCGGATGTATAAAATATTTTGGCCTTAATTAAAATTTTTAAATTTGATCCTTAAAAAAAAATCGCTCATAAAGCTTAGGTGAATGTAAATTAGTCGGGCTTCTAGATACCATCTTTTAAGACATTTCTCTTAAATATCAGGGGCAAATTGATATATTCTAAATCTTCAAGGGTCAATTCCCATTTAACGCTATAACTTTGCCACTCAAATACCCGACATTGGGCTTCAAGAACCCAACTGCCAAAGATCATCTTTTTGACAAACAAGAATCACCGACGATATACACCATGGTTTGTGCTTATTACTTTCCTTTAATTCCCTTTTAATTTTTTAAGTTTTTGTGATACCCAATTTGCATTCTTGGATTCTCTTATCCATGGTGATGTGTGTGTGTGTGTGTGTTTCAGTATAGGTATATGTCATAATTCCATCTCCATTCCGCTTCTTATATATCTAGTTGATTTAGTCTACTGCTTTTCCTCTCTATAATTCTGGAATTGCTCACCCCGGGGGTGTGGGGGGAATTAATTGTTATTAACTGTTTAAGTTCTATCCACTAATAATATAAGAAATATTTACATAGTTAGGTCACTTATTAGGTAATTACATGTAAATCCCTTAATAAACTTTAATAATAGTAACTAAACTGCTGTCACAAATTAAAATTCATTGATAATGTAAAAGAATTTTTACACTGTTAGTGCATATAATTTAAATCCGAGCCGTATGAATAATGACATTGGAATAGATCAGAGTGTATACAAAAGATAGCAGACACCAAGTTTTTCGGGACTGTGCGGTAGTTGATTGATCGGATTATGTGGAGAAATTGTTCATATGATTGTAGTTTGAGCCTTACAATTTTACATTATATTGCCATGAGGTTTAAAGATATTGGGTTTCACTTGTAAGAAATCTTCTTCTACATATATTTTAACTGAGAAAAACTGCCCTAAATTGCACTGTGTTATTATGTATTGGTGGGTTACTTTCCGCTCAAAACACTCGTTAACTTGGTGCTATTAGGTAACTATTTTGCTCCAATGCCATTTGGTTTTCCAATAGGTGGTTACTGTGGAATAAGATGACATTGACATGTTCTTCTGAATGGTGTTTGATCAAAGAGTTTGTGTGAATTGTAACCTCTGTTTGGTTTTATTTTGACAACTGGTGCATTTTTCTTATGAGCTTTGCTCCTGGACATTTTTTTGGGGTTGACGGAGTGACTTTAGCCGAGAAGTGTTAGTAGAATTTACGCATAAATATTTTATGATTAGATGAATTTTTGAGCTCAGAGTTAAACACTGATTGGACCCTACCAGTTAGGTAGTGTTAACCGAGGTCGACTGGATCTTCCATTGCTTATTTTTCTGTATTAAAGAAAGATCGGAGAACTTCATTTCCTTCTGTAGACAAATATAAGTTTTTATTACAAGATTAGTAGAGGTACTTATTTCTTGTTTATGATCACTATGTAAATCTTGCCGAGCAACTATGAAAGACATGCGCACGATGGTTCATATAATAAATACGGCATTGAGCTATTATTGGCCAATCTTCACAAAGCCGAACTCTATTGGTAGGTACGCAGGAAGGACAAATAAAAAGTTGACTGTTTATTTGTATTATCTGACTCAAAAGTGATGGAAATATGCAAATCAACATGGATATAAACCTTGAAAAGAAAAACCAATGAACTAAATGGCTCTAGATAATAGCATAAACCTAAATATCATTGGAAACACTACTGAGTGCTATAATATATGCGCTTATGTATGTCTATATGAACTTATAGAAGCATAGGTAAGTGATGAGAAAAGAGAATGTGATGCTGATGGATTATTTGATATAATAAATCAATTTGGTTCATGAATTTCTTTCTGTCTATGCAGGCAATGTATATCCGAGTCAAGCGTAATAGGACCACCTACTTTCTTCAATGTGACCCAACCGAGACAATTCTACAAATAAAGGAGAAATTGTATAACCTCGTAGATCAACCTGTTAATGATCAGCGATTAATCCTGATGCCTGCTGGAGACGTGTTGGAAGACTCGAAGTCCCTAGCTGATCAGAAGGTAAATTGTCCATCTTTATCATCATCCTTTTTCAACATATCGTACGATATATCGGTAAAACTAGAAAATATTATATCATCTGGAGTAGTACTTTGGATAATCAGCAGATTTTCAGTCTATCTTTATTGATTGTAGACATACAGATACATATTCTGTCCAACTTTCCCTTTTAGGTTGTTCCAAAACTGGTGTCCACATTCTTGAAAAGAATATTTTTCCTTTAGAGTTTAGATTTCTACAATACTCTTTTTACTATCACATTACAGAAAACGTTATATGGGAGCTCTTTTAAGGGATATCTTTGAGGCCTAGCCTCAACCTGCATCTATATTAGGTTAAGAAAAATTCTTACTTTTATACCTATGCTGAATCAAAATATGACATCTAAAATGTGATGGAGAGAGTCATCTGAGTATATACTGATAACACGAAAGAAGTTCATGAAATATTTTTCTTAAGCAAATAATTCCATACTTCTTTATTTAATCTAAGCTTATGCATTCTTTGTTATTTCTTTAATGATTTTGAACACTTTTCAGGTTGAAAATGACGCTGTGGTGGCGCTTACTCTGAGAAAAGGTTCTCTTCCCATTGCATTTTTCTTTTCCCAGTTTTAGGAGAAATTTCTATGGTTTATTAGCTGATAATTTTGTTTTCCCAGTTTTGGGTTCTTTCTTTCCAGAGGAGAGCATCTGATGCATATAACAATGGTTTTCCTTCACTAAAGTGCTCCTCTTTCTTGTCCTTTGTCGCCTCTTAAACAACACGTGCAGCTTCCTGTTTGTTCTGCTTATTCATTTTTCATGTTGTCTCACTTTAGTTTTGAGGGGGGGGGGATGTTGACTCACACTCTCACTTCTCTATATTACAAAATAGTAATACCAATAACTTTTTTTTTACAGAATAGTTGCATTAGGCATTTTGATGAAGTACTCATTGACTAGAGAAGTATAAACCTCTATAGTTTGCATTAGGACTTGATCCTATATTGGTACTCGAATTAGTTGAACTTCTATCTTGAATGCTATTGAAATTTATTGGCAATGCAAGTACTACTCGTGCAGTCTCGCATATCCAAAATTACAAGACATTTTAAAAGGAAAACCAGTTGTGCTTTTGATTCCTATGGTGTTTTTGAGGTGGAATTTGTTCAGCTTTTTGGTTGTGATCTCCATGTCCTCCCAGAGCATTTTAATTTGTAAACATTTGCGTTTGATTTTATATTACATGTTTTAACTTTTGGCTTTACGATGTACATTTTGGTCGAAATTTTCTCATTATAACATTGCATATTTCCTGCTGTTAGATGACAATGAATTTGAGGATGTAAATATTGTGAGAGCGACTGACTTTTACCAGTCCCGCGATTCAGAAGGTGGTGCAAATTGGTGACACATTCTGGGAACATCTAATCCTCAACAAAGATGTGTATACTTTTTACACTCTGATCAGGGCAATTCATTTACCAGCTTCTGGTTTGATGAAATACTGAGATACTGTCGACTGTCGAGTTCCATTTAGCACGAGATTTTGTGATATTGTCCTTCTGTTTAAAAGTGGCATGATGGATAAGAATTTCCAATCAAGAACTTCATTTTTTTTCTTTTAGTAGGATTAAACATTTTCATGGATGGATGAAAATTGCTGGCCAATGTGTACCTTTATCTTCTTGGTTGCATGAACAAACACCCCCCCCCCCCCCCCCCCCCCNCAAGTCGTACATTGTTCTTCGACAGATGCAAGTAATGCTATTCTGAATGATGATCTTTTGCCTTAGAACTCAAGGGAGCGGTTAGAAACTTCTAAAATGGATATTTTACATTGACGCCACAACTCTAGTCTTCTGAGAATTTTGACCATGAAACATGTTGATTATAAGAATAACAAAGTGAACACTCGCGTGCTAGGAACTTTTTCAAGGGTATTCAAATTTGAAAGAAGTGAATTTTTTTTTTCGACAAAGGGTGTTCAACATGTGTTATATACCTTTAAAACGTAATATGCACACACATATATATCTGTGTGTGTGTGTATCAGTTGACTGCGCTTGTGGTCATTTAGATGCTACGGAGTGCAAAAATTTCGAATTTTTTGAACTCTAGATTGAATGCCTTAATTGCATATTAAAGTTAATAGTTCTACATTAACCATTCTTCTTTCTGTAACCCCCTTTTTTACCACCCCGGAAAAGATATATGTTGTGGTGATGGGAGTTAAAGAATTAAAGGATTTTTCTAGTTAAAGTAATAAATTTGAGTAGGGATTACTTTATTTACAGAGTTGTCACTTGAAATGAATTGTTGGTGTTCCAAGTCACCTTTTTTTGAAATCGCTAGTCAAAGGAATTCTTGACCGGAAGAAGGTGTGAGGCACTCCTTGAATTTCGTGGTTCTAGCACGGTCGATTTTATTGACTAAAATTTGGCTTATATGTACCTTAAATTATTATTGTCTATCGCCGCTTAATAATTATCGAATTTTATTAATCATGTTGACCTAGGAATGTGTGAGCACACAAGACCTTTGTTTGCTTAGATGTATTAAACCAAGGAAAATCAAGGAGTGAGATTGCTCACATAACCATTTTTATTAATTCATATCATGTAGAAACACATGGTTAATATTTCAAATGCGCTTAATATTTGCCTAGCGTTAAATTAAGCAAGTATTTTTTATGAAAGAAAAAATGGGTTTAGGGTTTCTTCTTCTTAGTTGCAAAATCAGAAGTTGAGTAGAAAGATAGAAGAACTTTCAGATTCAAAATCTGAAGTTGCTTTGAAAAGCTTGAACTACTTAAGATTTGAATTTCTGAAGTTTCAGTTGATAGATAGGAGAACTTCAGATTTGATTTCTGAAGTTGCATTGAAGTGATTGAACTATTTCAGATCTGAGAGGGTACACTATGCAAAGTTTTGTGCAATGCGGGTATAAATTTAATGGTGGTCCCAAAAATGATTATATATGTAATTGCCTCGTTATACTTGTCATGTAAGGAGAAATTTGCTCCTCTAATATACAAAAAGTCAAGAATTTGCAACAGAAGACAATGTCACAAATTAAAGAATGGCGCCAACCAAAAGACAACTCCTAGAGCTCATTCTGCATACTAATAAGGTTGCGTACATCCTACCTTACCCTCTCCAGACCTCACTTGTGAAATTTTACTGGGATGTTATTGTTGTTGTTGTTATCATGCCAGAAAAAACCCAAAATAGTCCATTATCTTTGGACTTAGTCTCAGAGTGATCCTACTTTTTCCTCATGGAGCACTCATAGTTCACATTTTTGATAAAGCGGTGCACTTCCAGTTCTAAACCAAACGTCTATGAGAATTTTAATGGATAAAATCTCTCGTTTACTGATAGGTCTCGCAAATTTGAAAATAAGGGTTCTAAAAAGTTTGGAAAAAAAATGGGGGACATACCCTATCAATTTTGACGTAAGATAAAGAGAAGATTTAGTTTGTTCCGAAAGAAAATCCACATGAGGCGCGTCTGGGTGATTTTTAAAAATAGCCAGATTTACAACTGGTCGTTCAAAAATAGCCCAATTTCAAAAGTAATCGAAATTTACCCACTTTTTATGTAAAGATAAATCTGAGCGAAAACACTGTTCAAAACCCGGAAAATACTCCAGTATATTATGCTGGAGTTCCAGCATAAGTATACTTGAACTCCAGCATATTATACTGGAGTTCCAGGATGGTATGCTGGAACTCCAGCATAATATGATGGAGTTCCGGCATAAATACACTAGAACTCCAGCATAATATACTGGAGTTCCAGCAAGTATAATGGTCCAGTATAATATACCGGAGTTTGGAGCACCAGTGCTCCAGTCTCCAGTATATTATACTGGAGACAGCAAAGTATACCGGTCCAGCATAATATGCTGGAGTTCATACACAAGTGCACCGAACTCCAGTATATTATGCTGGACCGGTCTCTATTGCAGCAAAACGGTGGCTATTTTTCATTGACTTGGTAAACGCTGGCTATTTTTGATTGACCAGTCCGAAAACTAGCTATACCATGAAATTTTGGCCGCATGACCATCTATGTTAAAAATCACATATGTTTAGGAAAGGACCATTAGTGCACTACTGGGAGAAATTCAAAAATAGCCAGATTTAAAAGTGGTCATTCAAAAATAGCCACAGTTTCAAAAGTAATCGAAATTTAGTCACTTTTCATGTAAAGATAAATCTGAACGAAAATACTGTTCAAAATCCGGAAAATACTCCAGTATAATATACTGGAACTCCAGTATAACACACCGCTCCAGCATAATATACTGAAAATTGGAGTAACGGTGCTCCAATCTCCAGTATATTATACTGGAACTTTCCGCGTGTTGGAGTTCTAGCATAATATGCTGGAAGTTCATACACAGGTGTACCGATCTCCAGTATATTATGCTGGAACTTTCCGTGTTGCAGCAAAATAGTGGCTATTTCTCAATGACTTTGTAAACACTAGCTATTTTTGAATGATCAGTCCGAAAACTGGCTAGTACGTGCTATTTTTACTGCACTACTTGGTCAAAGAATGTGGACTATTAGCACTTCGCATAAAAGAAATAGGATTATTTTGAGCCTACGTCCAAAGATAGTGGACTGTGTTGGGATTTTTCTCCTTACCATGCAGTCAAATGGAAAGAGGATAAATTTACTGAAAGCTACAACAGACCTTCCAAGACAGGGTGGAATCTCATGGGGGGATTTGGTCCAACCTTTAGAGATAGTTCATGAAGCTCCTTGTTTATACATCCAAGCTCCTCATCCAACTGCCTAAATGTAGCTAAAGTCTCCCCCATTCTAAGTGTGACTGCTTGTCGCCGTTGCAGTAAATTTCCCATACTAAATGCTCCATCGATATGTGCTAAACGCTTTTCAAGCCATCCTAATTCAATGCCGCTTGACTTTAAGTCCCAGAGATGTTGCCCAGCAACATTGAACTGATCCTTGGACAAGTTCATTACTGTAAGATTATCAAGAGAGTAGACTAGTTCTGCCAGTATTTCCAAATGCAGTGACTGAAATATGCTACTTGCAACCTTGAAGTTCACGAGTGAATTAGGGTACCGCGAGACAACCCTATTGAGTATTGGTAAACATCGTCGTGCTACTTGATATCTTCCCCAAGGAACTTGCTCGTCACCACGACCAGGTCCTTTATAGGGAATTCGACTTGGGGTAGAAGATATAGACATCACTTGGGAGGATGTTGGTTGCTCTAATATGGAAGAAGTCTGTCTCGAGTGATCTTCTGAACAAGTCTGCATACCGGGAGGATTAGTCTCTTCTTGCTCTTCAAGCCATTCATCAAAATCTACAAGGAGAAAATTTAGCTTCTTAAAATGAAAATGGACAGACCAAAAACTTGCAATTCTAGTTTGGAGTATACGTTCATTTTGGTATACTCATTTTATGATATAAATATTACCTTGTATAGTGGACCGGAGATCACTATCCCAATCCAAAGTTATCGTATCAAGACTAGTGTTTACAAAGTCTGGAAAATCAGTTTCTTTGAATAACTCATCAAAGTTCTCATCTTGAGCTTGGATGGCCACAGTTTCATTCGGAATAAATCCCTCATTATTCTCCCTTGCAACTGCTGTATGCGGTTGCAGTACATTGTCTTCTATATGATGGATATTGTTAAGCGATTCAACTGACTGTTGTCCGATCTCCAAAGCCATCATAGTAGGTCGAGCAGAATTGGATATTGCTTCTGATTCTTGCATGTATTGATCCTCCTCGAGCAAAAGATTTGTCGTGTGTTGACCCTGAGGAAATGACATCTGGTCCATACCACTTGTTCTGCATATCGAAAAAACAAATCAATGTACAGAATATTTTTCTGCGAAAGATTTGTATCAAATTAGGAGCTCAATGTTCCACAACCTTTTCACATGAGAATCCAAACTGCTCTGTTGCGTTCTAGATATTGTGCCAACTCCAGGCCCATGGTTTCCACCTTCAAAATAGTTGCTCAAGCTCATAATAAATTGACTTGATCTGTAACGTTCAACCAAAAGCATATCTATGTAAATATGATTGCAAAGTTCTCATTGCAAACTTCATTTTAGTTCACAAATTTTACCTATTGTGGCATGGCTTGTAGTAGACAGAAAAGAGACTTCGGGTTGCAAAGGCATGGGAAGCAACTGCAAGAACCCCTTCCATGCTTTGCCTTGAAAATGTTGATGATCCGATGGAGTTGCATTGATAAGATAAACGCCTAATCCCGACATGTAGTTTGCCGGTTTCATCCCTTGATGAAATTAAGAGGGAAAGAAACCAAATTAGGCAGGAAACAATAAAGATGCTACAGTACAAGATATATAATTGCAGGACACGCGGCACAACAGTAACACCCATAGGGAAAGTACCTTAAGAACACAACTAAATCCCCGGCAAGCAATTTCTTACTAGTAACAAATGCACCCCAGCCATTTGTGAGCAAATGCCTCCGAGGTTGGCCTACTCAGTGTAATTCATGCAGAAATTAACTTGGACAGTGAGAACAAAATAGCAAGATATAACTCATTCACTTAAAGTGATTTAGTTTAGGCAAAGGTGCATAGCAGAATTAAATACAACAATGATTTCCTTTTAACGTTCACATTGTTTGATAATGAACATTAGTAAACGCTACGTCCTACTACAGCAGCTATATTCCTAGGTTCAATTCTTCGTCATGATGCTTCTGCATAGTAGAATAACACAAAAAGAATTCAGTCTCACAATATTCAAATCTGACTAACATAAGAGAGGAGGAAATTGCCTTGGAATACATGCTTAAAGCGCCATTCATTGCCTTGAAGATCGTTGACTATCAATTCTTGGATTGGTTTTTCTTGCGCCATGTCCTGATCATGAACGAGAAAAGTCCCCGAAAATGAAAATTAGTCAACCATATAACTTACTATTCATGTAAGAAATATATAAAGAATACACAAGAAAAATTACTGAAACAGGTATAAGAAGTTAGTGCATTACCAGGGGAGGGAAGCATTTGTTAGCATCTTTCCGGTGCACAGACAATCCCCAGTTACTTTTTATGTCAGAGGTAGTTAAAGCCTTGCAAAATGACTGATACTGGGGCCTTGGAGGTTCAAGCGGACAAAACTCTGGAGTTGATGGCTCATTTTGCTGCAAAATAGTTATTTTCGTGCTGAAAATATATATGTGATACCAGAAAAACTTCAAATAGCAAGTAAATTAAGTTGTTACTTCTTGATTTGGCAACAATACAGTTTCAGCATAGACCTCTTCTGTTTCATGTTCGACCTGCATATAGAAACAATTACTGTAAACAAATGGCTCCACAGATCTTCCTTTTAAGCAAAGATCGTTCCTAATAATGTCTATAGTGATACAACAGAAAAAACATTTGAACTAGTTTCTTTGTGCATTGGTTAGTCGTTGCAAGAATACAACTTTTCATGCTATGTGCAACTATCCCCTGTAAGAATATGAAAAATAAGTTAAATATCTAGAGTTAGGCTTCATTTCCCTAATTCTGCTCCTATTCTTGAGGACAAAATGCGTGAAATGGCACCTAGAAATATGAAAAATGTATCTCAGTATGATTAGACTCAATAAGCTAAGTACAAAAAGAGCCAAGAAATTTTAATTTCACGAAAATAAAGAAGGAATTACAGTATTTAGTTTCCTTCACTATGTTTTGTTCTCAACTACTTGGAAAACTATACTGCTATGCTACATGCTAAAACAGAGAAGAGAACAAGAAATAAAAGGAAGTATCTCGCACTTGAAAATGGAAGATAATTACTTATTAAAATTATGGACCATAAGCCTCAGATAATTTTGGTACCTCAATTTTACTAGTCTATGCGATTTGCAAAACCCAAAAGCAAATAAGGAGCTTGAGAGGTAAAATACTCAAACTATTCTGGCTCATTTGCATTAATCTACTTCCTCGACATTAAATTAAAGTCTTAGGCTCTATTGGTGATCATGGTCGGATCCTGCAGGTTGACCTCAAAATTGAAATGATCGCGTAAGATCTCTACATGTAGGAGCTATTTCCATGATGAATCGAATACACAAATTATCATAGAGATAGTGAATATGGTTCACTTACCCGGATCTCATATCATAAGGACCTGTGCAAGACTGCAGTAGACACTCAAATAGCATGGCCTATGAATACAGAAAAAAAAAAACCATAGAGCTAGTCCACGAGGCTGGCTTCCCAACATTGTGATTATTCTAACCATTCTCCGATATAGTCATTTTCCTTAAATAGTTTTCCCAACTCAACAACTTTTTTGTCCCACCGGACCTTGCTGTATTTGTGAATATACAAATTCCATATATCAAATTTAGTAAGACTTCTCAAAGAGAATAAAATGAGACTTATATAAAAGAGATTGGCGATCCTAATTAATCCTAAAAGTAACAAGCAAGTTCATAAGATCCATGCCCACCCCCTAATGAAAAGCAAAGTTCATAGGGTCCATTCGCAACCCCCAAGAAGAACAACAACAATAACAGACCCAGTATAGTCCCACAAGTGGGGTATGGGGAGGGTAGAGTGTACGCAGACCTTACCCCTGCCTTTATAAGGCAGAGATGCTGTTTCCGGTAGACCCACGGTTCAGCGAGGAAAAAGGGAAGGGGAAACATCAAGCAAATCAATCTGACAACCAAAGCGAAAATATAAAACTAACACTAAGTAATGCAAACAGAAATCGGAACAAGGCAGCAATAAGGAATAACAACAATCTAGGGATATAAAGAAGCTAAGAGATGTATCAAAACAAGGACAACACCCGCTACCTAACCCTCTACCTTTATTCTCAACCTCCACACCTTCCTAACTATGGTCATGTCCTCAGTCAGCTGGAGTAACGCCATATCACGCCTAATTACCTCACCCAATACTTCTTCGGCCTGCCTCTACCTCTCCGTTGGCCCTCCAACGCCAGCCTCTCACACCTCCTCACCGGAGCATCGGTGCCTCTCCTCTTAACATGCCCGAACCATCTAAGTCTCGCCTCCCGCATCTTATCCTCCCGAACCCCCAAGAAGAAGCACCTCAAAATATTTATGGACTAGAAGCTAAAGCATTTGAAAAAGGAAAAGAAAATGGTGGATGATAGAGTAATGTCAAGCATACCAGAAGACGAATATGAAGAACCCGACATAGTATCTTTCGGGGAAGATGGGACAGTTGTAGTCCTTGAATCCATTCCAGATTGGATGACTGCTCCAACTGACCGGAAAAGTAGGAATTCGTTAGGGGGAAAAAGTGCGTATAAATTTGAAACAAGTTTTCTAGCAACCACACCATTAAATCAGTTTTGCCTCAATCCAAACCAGTTGGATCCACAATATGAATCTACATCTATTAGCCCTAGTGATCCATTTCATTCTAATACTTACTTCGTTTCATTTTATATGTCCGCGTATGACTGGACACGGAGTTCAAAAAAGAATGAAAGACTTTTCTTACATACCGAAAGTACCTAATAATTTGATGGTCTTAAACCTACAATTACATTTCTATGTCTATAAGAGCATATCAGATTATAGAAGTTTATAGTAAATACTTCCAACTACATAAATGTGTCATTCATTTTGGAACAGACTAAAAAGAAACAACGTCACATTAAATGTAACTGAGATTACTAATAAATAAGTTACTATCATTTAACACTACCAAAAAAAAAAAGAAAGAAAAAAAAAACCTGATCCATGTGAAGTCTGGGGAAGTAGTGGACTCTCTCCCCAAGCTTGGGAACATCCAACAATGAACCAGAACATGCCCTCCATATTTCCCTACACAGAGCATTATCACCTGGAAAAACAAAATCACCCACCCACCTCACTAGAAAAATGAAAATAAGAAAATAATCAAATAAATCAAGAATTTGTAAGGAAAATTCAATGACCTTCAAAATGTTTTAGCTGTGAATTAGACGCCAGTAAATCGACCATAACTGAAGCAATGCAACAATTTGCTAGTTCTCAATTTAACTAAGCATACCCATCTATTTCTTGATAGCAAAAAAAAAAAAAAAAAAAAAAAGATAAGAAAGACAATCTCTTTAGGCTAGAATTAATCTGAACAAAATGCAATCTTTTTGTCTAAAGGTTTACTAGAACAAAATGCTTTTGTTAGTTACATTACAGTAAAGAGAAAAGAAAGTGAAAAGCCAAAACAAGATTTATATGCTGACGTTTCTTTGTACCTTCTTCTTTATTTTTTCAATTATTTTTGTACCTTCTTATCATTTTCATCTTCTGTTTCCTCTATGTTTATTTTTTCTCCATTAACGCGGCTTCGTCACATTTGTGTCATCTGATACAAGTCAACTAACACGTAACTGTGTGGGGGATATAGTGTGTAAAAAGAAGTACACGCGCGCACACAGGGGCAAAGAAGATCAAACTTGAATACTCCCTCTATTTCATATAGTAGTACATATTATGGTGTTTGATTGGAGCTAGAAAATAATTTTTTATTACACCTATGAGAATAACCTTAGAACTGTGATTTAAAATAACATGACATGTGTCACGATCCCTTTTCTTACTATAAACCGTGATGACGCCCAACATCCTCTAGGCAACGGTAAATTATCCATGTAATTGTTCATTTTAATATTTTTAAAGTCAGAGATTTTATTTAATAAGAAAACGATTAATAGGTGATTGTAATAATGTAAAACATGAAATAAACAAAAGTGTGAAGGAGTGATTTTAATAATCAAAAACCATGAAGTATCTACTAGATTCTCCCAAAACCCGATGTCACAAGTGCACGAGCAAACTAGTAGAATATACAAAACCTCCTATACTACTGTTTGGAGTAAGATAGACAGAAAATAAATGCAACAAGAAGAGACTTCGGGCGCTGCAGAACGGACATAGAGAGCAGTTCACCACTAACTCTCCGAGTAGCAGGGGTACGCGCCTGAATGGCCGCCAGATGCACTTGCCTCAGATCCTGCACGATTAGTGCAGAAGTGTAGCGTGAGTACATAAACAACATGTACCCAGTAAGTATCTAGTAGAACCTCGAAGAAGTAGTGACGAGGGTCGACATCGACACTTACTAAGGGTCAATAAATAAAGTGTAAGAATTATAAATAGGCATGAAATACATTAGTAATAACGAAATAATGAACAATAAGTGAATGGTTCTTTAACTAAATATCAATTAAAAATTTCCAACTATCACTTACTAATTTCAACAAGTAAGAGCCATCAAGAAATTATAAATTCTCAAGTCATGGAAGAAATATCAAGTATAATCGGACTCCGAGCAATATCGCGTACGATTTATGCCGAGGTTGTACGGCTCAACCCGGAATAGTGTGTACACTGCTGATGATCGACTGATATGAACCATAGATGCATCTATTACACTGCCGAGGCATTTGGCCCGATCCACAGGAAGATAGAATACTCTACAAACTCCGATTAATGGCTACTACAAGAATAATACTCAAGGAGGCATAATTTCCACTAACGGTCAAGTAACCCGCCAAAACTCAAAGTAAGAGAGCTCCGTCTTTACAAATCCTTTATCCAATTTCAAATATAATTTAAGTAATTAAACTAACAAGTTGAGCACAAATAATACAAGTAATACATGGTAGAGTCCTAAAACTACTCGGACATAAGCATGATTTTTAGCTACATGCAGACTCTCGTCACATCGTGCACACGTAGCACCCACATTTATTAACAAACAATCATTTATAGCACCTACGGGGAATTTTTTCTCTTACAAGGTTAGGTAAGAGACTTACCTCGTTTTCAAGTCCTCTTTGTTAAAATCTACCCAAAATTCGTGTATTCAACAACATTAAGTAGTAATTACTTGCATTACAATGATAGCTGAAAAATCTCTCTCCAAGAGCTCCAAAATAGGCCAACCCAAAGTGAAATAAGAGAAAAATGAGTCCAAACCCTGATTTAAACAAGTCTCTGCCTGGTGACCCTTCTTTGCGATCGCAGAAGAAGCCTCGCGATTGCGAAGGAAAAGCTGGCCCAGGCCCTGAGAATCTTAATCACAAACACGAGGGATCTCTCACGATCGCGAAGTCTTAGCTCGCCTGAGCATCGCGAACGCCGCGTTACCTTCGCGAACACGAAGGGTAATGGTACTGACCCCTCCGAGGCCCCTTTTCCCTAACGCGAACGTGAAGGCCACAGGCCCCAGACCTTCGCGAACACGGACTGGGGATCGCGAATGCGAAGAGAAATTACCCAGTCCCCCAAATTCCTTCTCTGCAAACGCGACACAACCTCTGCGATCGCGAAGAAGGAAACCAGAACCAGCAATGATAGTGTAACAACCCGGCCGGTTATTTTGAGTATTTTAGCCTCGACCCCCTATTTCTTGCCCTATATCTTGTATTATGGTTATATGAATTGCAGGGAGTGTTTGGTTTTGGTTTCGGGTGAATTCGGAGTGGTATGAGACACATAGTTCGTAAGTCGAAGGCTTAAGTTGAAAGAGTTGACCATAGTTTGACTTTTATGTAGATGACTTCGGAATAGAGTTTTGACGGTTCCAATAGCTTCGTATGGTGATTTTGGACTTAGGAACGTGTCCGGATGTTGATTTGGAGGTTCGTAGGTCGTGTCATCTTGAATTGTCGCAAAAGTGGGCGTTGCCTAGAGGAGCGACTACGCAGAAATGCTATGTCCGCAGAAGCGGAAGCGCAGATGCGCGTTTAGTCTACAGAAGTGGAGGATACTGGTCTTAGTGAGAACCACACCTACAGAAATTCTATAGGTGCGGAGCCGCAGATGCGGCTGTGGGTTCGCAGATGCGAATTCACGTGGCATAAATAGAGGCCTTCGAGGGCTTGATTTCATTATCCATTTTTGGACCTAGAGAGCTCGATTTGTGGCGTTTTTTGTGAGTTTTTCAAGAAATTCACCGAGGTAAGTGATTCTAACTTGATTTTGGCTATATTACGCGAATTCATTGTTATTTTCATCATTTAATTAGTGATCTGAGTTGGGAATTTGGGGAAAAATTATGAAAGGTGATTTAAAGTCGGATTTGAGTAATTATTGTGAACACCTAATTTGCACTATTTTAACACCTCCTAAAGTTATTAGTGTTTTGTTATTTTAATTATTTTTCTCAAATTTTGTGTCTTTAATTGCATATTTTCTATCATGAAAATACCAAAAAAATAATAGTTCTTCCTTCATTTGTGCATTTTAGGAATCGACTAACTTTTCAATGTGTGAATCAATCTAGTTAATTGATCATTTGAATAAGTTATTTAATTAATTAATTTATTTGTGTAAATTTAGTTTAATAAGTAGGATTAAGGAAGAAATTTGGCCAAATTTGAAAGAAAAAGTGGCCAAGAGTGCAAGATAAAGGGCTGGCATTGAAAGGATCCGAAACTACGTAGTTTTGCCTCAACACTACGTTGTTTCATTAATTGAATCAAGATTTAATCTTAGCCACTCATCATCACATGATCCAACGGCCCTGATTAATCTCCCACCCTAGGTATTTAAAGCCTAGTTTGGCCAAATTTTGCCCCCATTTTGCTTTATTTCCCTTTCTTCTTCCCCTCTCCTCACTCTCTCATCACTCTATCTTCTCTCTCCCAGGTCCGCCCAGCGCCACCGGCCGGAAATCGCCGTCGGCGGCGGCCAACCCCCAATCAACCCCAAAATTTCACCATCTCTTCCCCTCTTCCTCCTCTTTCTACCTATACCACTCATATCCTCCAAATCTCCACCAATCTTCATAGGTCTACTAAAATCCGAAAAAACCCTAGCCGCCATCTACCACCTCCAAACCCCATAAAAATCATACCACCGGCCTCCTCTCACTCTCCTCTTCTCCATTCCACGCCCCAAAACCTTCCAAATACCTCCAAAATCTGACAAGTTTTGGCCAGCCACCGCCGACCACCCTACTGTCGCAGCTTTGGCCGCCGCCCAACTTCCGTCTAGAAAAATACGACCCCTTAGTCCCTCCTTCTCTTTGACACAGTGCTGGACTCAACTTGGTTCGCCATAGTTCGTGTTTTTTCAGCATTTGTCATCGAGAAAAAGAGGCGTGGAGGTCGATTCGCCATCTAGTTGTGTGGTATTATTAATTTGGAGCCCCGAGCGTTTAGGTAAAACGCCTAANTCCCTTGTTCATCGATTTTAGTTTCTCCTTTATTGACTAATTTTTAGATTTTTAGTTTATTTAGGTTTTAGTTAGTTTTCTTTTTACAATTTAGTTTTGTTAGTTTTTTCTTTCTAATTGTGTTGGTCATATGTTCAGTTCTTTCATAACTGCAGTTTGGTTGTGCTCGTTAACGATTCTCTAATACTTGTATTAGCTCTATTCGATTTTTGATTCATGTGATGAATTTGATTGAAGTTCGAATTAGCAAGTTAGTTTGGTATTGTTGTTGACAAAATCAGAAAATTAGATGGGTTTGATCAAAATAGGATGCTAGTAGCCTACTTTTGACTAGTAGGGTGGCTGAAATGATATTTTTTCTCCTTGCTTCTGCTATTGCAGATTTTCAGGCTGTCCTTTCACCTTTTGGACAACCTTTGAATAGTGTTTAGCACACAAAGTAAGTCCCTTTTTGGGCAGATTTTTGGTGAAACCAAAATCTGCCCAAAAAGTGACTTTCTTTGCCTCTTAAGGGCTGCCCTTTCCTCATTTTTAGAAGGGGGACTCCATCACACTTCCATACATCTTTAGAATTGCTTGAACACCACAAACATAAAATATATCAGCAGTTAAACACATGAAAAGTAAGCTGAAAATCATGAGTTTTGGTTGAGTCTTAGAGTGCAAAATCTTTCAAAAACATATAAGAAGTCTTAGAGTTTGATTCTTGAGTTCCTTCTCCAAAAGAATCGCTACTTTTAGTGAGATTTCTGGGCTGTTTAACACGGATTCACTGCTGTTTTGTCGCTGTTTCTGCTGTCTTTGTTGCTGATTTTCTGTCCTTTCACTACTGAATTTATCTTGTTACAAATCAGGTAACCCTTGAACCTTTGTATTACAGATTCTCGATATCGAATGACAGAAGACATGGATCTCTCATGGCTCTTTGAATTTGTTAATGTACTTTTACATGAAATGGATGTTATTTAGTTTGTTATTCATGTTTTATAGTATATGCTAGAATCGTAGAAGTTAGTTAAGTCACTCAAGTTCCCTTTACATTCAAAGTTGTTCAGTCGTTTAAGGAAAATATAAAGATCTCATTTTTAACCATGTTTGTTTAATTGGGATTTTGTGATTTACTTCCAAGGTTAATGTATTAATGACTTGTAGCTTCAAATGTCATAGTCAACATAATGTCTCCATAATTAGGATGTGCATTCGAATCGGTTTATCTATAAAT